TTTTCTAATTAGTTTTAGTTACTTGAAATAATAGTCAAGAAATATTCTATTTAGTTTAGAATTAGAAGTTATTTCCTATTTTGTACAAGTTTAGAAATTAGAATTGGTTTTCTATTGTTATTTAGGTTTTGGCCTTATAATGTTCCCTATAAATAGATAGATTGGCATACTACACAGGTGACACACAAAGGCACACTAAAGGTGACATGTAACCTTATACATGGGGTAGTGAGAGAGGATTCTTGGGAAATGAGAAATAGTATACAAGAGTTAAGTTTGGGTTCAAGTTATATTCTTGTATAGGATTTTCCTCTCATAATAAAGAACGGGTTTCTCTCCATGAACGTAAGCTCAATGGTGGAACCAAACCACATTAAATATTGTATGTCATTTATCTTTCATGTTTGTGGTTTGTTTACCATTAAATTATTGTGCACTTGATATCTCAATAGTTGTTTATTCTGCACCTGGATCCTAACAAGATTAAGTCAAGATTCAGTCCTACACCTACAGCAATTGTACCAGTTTTTCATGGGCCTACCTAACCCATCCTTGGAAGAAAATTGAATGCCTTCTTTGCTCTCACCAGGATTCAGTAGTTCACTATTCCTTTAAACAAAGGTACTAATCAAAAATAAAGATTGAAATTTCATCCAATCCTTAAAATATAAATCTGACGCCCGGGCATCCATGCAAAAGAAACTAGGTCTATCTCTTAGAAACTCAAGTTCTAGTACACTTATAAATAAATTCCATGAATAGGTCCTATTGGAACTAGGGATGGCAACGGGGCGGGGTTGGGGCGGGGGACCCCTCCCCCGTCCCCCGCCCCGTTGCCTATTAGTTCCCCCCGTCCCCCGCCTCCCGCTCCCCCCGCCCCGCCCCGCCCCGCCCCGCCTTGCCCCGCTTCCCCCGCGGGGGCACCCGCGGGGTTAATAAAATTTATATATAATAAGGGTAACAACTCTTGAGATTGCTGCATAGGGAGATTAATCTAAAGAATAAAAAAAAATTCTCCTATCAAGTTTGGGACTCAATTTGACCACAAAACTAAAATCACTACTCAGGCGAACTGAAATGAACCTCCTATCTGGTTGGTGGCATCTGGAGGATTAATTGAAACCCAAAGAAGAGATATGATTATGGCTACGAGTCCTGACCAAACAAAAACAATAGTAGGCGTCCTTCCTCTTCTGCCCATGAGCCCCTTGGCAAAAGGGTACAGATGTGCTAGAACCCAGAAACTGAAGAAAACTCCCCCTAACAGGCGGCTCCATTGAGGTATAACACTATATATTGTCCGGCTAATTCCAACTGCTATTGCAATGAAGTTGACCATCATAATCGTTATCGGCGGAATCATGAGAGACGTCCACTTAACAATGTAGAGATCTGCAAACTCATCCTCCTCGTCATCACCAGCTGACTTTGAAGTTAAAGTGAAGGAAATTTCATATCCGGCAATCACTTTTAGTAGTCCCTGGAGCACGGCAGCCAAGTGGGCACTAGTCCCTCCAATCAACCAAAATTGTTCATTCCTCCACCAGTCCTGTAACTCAATGCCCGACCATTTAATCTCTAAAATAGCTAGCATGGAGAGTGTGAGAGTAATCTCAAGAGTTGTAACTAATTAACTTACATATAATATAAAGTCATTTATATATATATATATATATATATATATATATATATATATTTTTTTTTTTTTTTTTTTTTTTTTTTTTTTTGCGGGTGGCGGCGGGGGATGGGCGGGGGAGTATACCCCCGCCCCCCGCCCCGTTTCTAAGCGGGGGGAAAAAATTCCCCCCGCCCCCGCCCCACCCCCCGCCCCGTGAGCCCCCCGCGGGGCGGGCACCCGCGGGCACCCGCCCCCATTGCCATCCCTAATTGGAACCTCGTTCCACTACACTTATGTTCTACGTAAATAGACACACACATTCCACCAGCAAATAAGAACATGAGGAGTCAGGAGAATAAATAAGCATGAGAGAATCAATAACAAGCCACCTGGTCCAATTCATGATATTACAAAATAAATTCTATTCAGCCAAATATTTACTAAAATTCCATTCACAGGTCCTTAACATCACTATTAATGACTTAAACCCCTAAATCTTGGAGGCTTGTAATTGTCTAGCGGTGAGTGGCTCTGCAATTTCCCTTAAGTGATACCACAAAGAGTTTCCATGGGTCAAATTGCTTGAAGTACTTAAAAACAAATCCCTTTTCTCCCTCTTTTGCTTTATCTTGCTACACAAAACAGCTCATTCAACTCAACCCATCCCTAGATTCCTTCTTTGGAAGCCTTAGTCAGATATTTCCAGGGCACACCATTGAGACCTTCAAGCTATAGCTTTAATAAATGTCAGAACACTACTATTCATATGTAGTATCCATTTTATCAGGTCGAAAAACTTTATCTCCATTTTGATATTATTTTCTTTAACTAAAGAAGAATAGAATTAAGCTTGTTTCAAATGAGGAATTATGAGAAACTAACTAGTACAAAGCAAGCAAAATTCCAACCCATAGGATGGTAATATGTAAGTTCATAGGGCAACAAACAAGCAAAGTAGCTAAGGATATAAAATTCAAATATTAATAAGCAACAAAACCAACCAGAGCTTTGAGCTACCTAAAGTGATCATACCATCTGCTCACTCCCCAACTTAAACTCTCCCTAGACGACTCTTAGCTCTCACTTCTTCTATATTACAATAGACAAAGGCACTTGTCAAAAAATAAATCTGAGGTCTTATCTAATATCTAGACCTTGAAGAGATCAATCCACAACTAGACATCCATGCAAAAGACATTAGTTGAGTGTCCTAGAACGTCAGGCACAGGCACACTTATTAGTTAATAGAAGTGACTTCTCAAGTTTACATGCTATCAAACCATTGCAATGACCTTCGGTTTCTGAAAGCTGAATGAGGAAAACTATTATTCGAGCTCATTATAATACATGCAGCCTACAGTTGCAACCAAATTATGTCTACTTAATAAGACTGTATCTACTGCAAAACATGTACAATAACTCATTAAATTATTAAAGTGATTATTAAATTAATTAAATAATTCACCTTATAATATAAATTTTATAACTGGTGCAATATTTAGATATAAAATCACTATATTATGTGTTTTTATTAATTAAAATTTTCAAAATTCGTGAGGCTTAAGCCTAATTTCTCGGGGCCTTCGCCTTGTCTAGTAAGATGAAAAACGCCTCTCCCAGCGTCTCAATATTTGAAAACATTACACAAAGAACCGATTCAAATGGAAGACCTTTCCGACTTGTTAATTTCATTCTTATGTTTGGCATGAATCTTTTGAATTGGAAAAACCTTTTTCCATAGAAAATTTGGTTCGACTTTTTTCTTGGAAACCCCGTTACTCATTTAGGAGGTGGACCATCATTTAATTATAGAAGAACTATTGTTTAATTTGTATCTGTCGTACAAGTCATATGTGACTCAAAACAAAAAATTTTCTAAAAAAATATCCTCTGTTTCTTCACTTGAATTTTGGGGCTAGACTAAAATTTTTACAATGATTCCATTTTTACTCACAGGGACGATAGAATCTTCAAGAAAGATAACCAATACATACTTGCTAGTATTAATTATCTATTGGCATGATTTTGAGTAATCGTTATCCAAGAAAGATTTTTTGAAGCCACATCATGCTGGCTTTTAATACGGATTTGGTTTCTCAGAGCGGTAAAAGTAACACTAGAAGAGAATGAGTGCCGTCTAATGCCAGCAACGTTCCCAACTAGTTTCCGATGAAAACAACCTTGGAAATCGATGGATCGAAGAGTTGAGCAACCCAGATTAGTCAAGAGAACCCGCCACGAGGCTTATTGAAGGCAGCGTCCGATGTGAACCAAAGAAGTTCAAGCATCAATCTTCTGAGGAATTTATTCCCAATTCGAGCCCTAGATTAGAAAAAGGGGGAAGGCCGTCACATCCCATCTCCCTTTCCTCCTATATTGCCCTAGTCAGGAAAGTCATTCGCATAAGCCCTCAAGGAGAAACCAAGTAAGAATGATTTTTATGATGGTTCTGAAGAGGACATGGAAGCTGCTGATGAAAGTCTGGAGGAAGAAGAGGATCTAGCAAAGGAGGCAGAAATTGCAGCCTCGAATTTCCCTAGAGTGAAGCCCAGGAAGGAGGAGATCTCTGATTTTTGGAAACCTTGGAGGAAGAGCCTGGTGGTCAAAATGCTAGGATGGAAAGTCAATTACGAGTTCTAGAAACGAAGTTGAGAGAGATATGGAGCCTAGATCAGCATTTTGAGATAATAGATCTGGAAAATGGTTGCTTCCTCTCCAAGTTCTTGAAGAAAGAGGACTATCATAAGGTTTTGGAGAGAGGACCATGGATGTTCCAGGGGAACTATGTAACCGTAAGCAAATGGAAGCCAGATTTTCGACCAGCAGAAACAAACATAAAGACTACTCTAGCTTGGGTCAGGTTGCCGGGGTTACCGATTGAATATTATGTTGAAGATTTCCTTATGAAAATTGGTAATGTGTTGGGGCAAGGCAGTCAAAGTGGACTGCCAGACGTTGGAGGTAGCTAGAGACAAATATGCAAGGATTTGTGTGGAAGTGGATCTGAAAAAACTACTAATACCTTTCATCTGGGTGAATAAAGATTTACAAGCTATAGAATATAAAGGCTTGGATGAGATCTGCTTCGATTGTAGCCACCATGGTCATATTGCTGCCGCCTACCACATGAATTCCTATGTGGGCGGTGTGAAGGGAACAGAGAAGGGCCCTGAGGCTGGGGGAGATCACCGGAAGGAGGTGTGGGCGGTGCCAGAGGCCAGACCATACGGGCCTTGGATGCTTGCGAAACAGAGAAAAAGAAAGGTAGATTGTAAGACACAAAGTACCCGAGCCCAAGACAGGGGTAGGCCAAAATCGTACCATGTTTCTGGGCCTATCAGGGATGCACAAGAAACGGAAATGGAAAATGATGCACCATGAAATGGATGATATTCTGGACGACGTCATCAAACAGCATCAAGCCAACCGCGAAAATGGGAAAGTGGGGAATGCTGAGTCGGGAGATGAAGATATTATTGATGTTCTGCTTCGACTGCAGGAAAGTGGCAACTTCCAAGTTCCAATCACAACTAGAAACATCAAAGCTCTCCTTCTAGTAAGTATAATGAATAGATCATCATCTTTTGCTTATGTAACTCCGTTTTTGGCTAAGTTCGAAGCACTTGTTAAATTATCTGCTCCAGGATATTTTCAATGCCGGAACTGATAATTCATCAGTAATAGTCCAGTGGGCCATGTCAGAATTGATGAGGCAACCAAACCTAATGGCAAAGGCACAAGACGAAGTAAGACAAATCTGTGAGGGAAAAAGGACAATCGAGAAGGCCGATATGGAAAAGTTGAAGTACCTCAAAATGGTCATACATGAAACTTTAAGGCTTCACCCACCTACTCCTATAATCCCAAGATTAAGCATGGAAAATCTAGTGGCCAGTGGATATACAATACCCGACAATACCCAAATAATAGTTAATGCTTGGGCAATTGGGAGAGACCCTGAATACTGGGATGATGCTGAGAACTTTAAACCAGAGCGGTTCGATCATAAATCAATTGATTACTTTGGATCTCAACATGGATATTTCCTGTTCGGGTTAGGAAGGAGAATGTGCCCCGGGATAACATTTGGTCTAGCCAATATGGAGCTTCCATTAGCCCATTTGCTTTACCATTTTGACTGGAAGTTACCTGATGGAATGGAGCCGGCTGATCTAGACATGGAAGAATCCGAGAGATTAACCGTTCAAAGGAAAAATAATTTATTCTTGATTGCAACACCATATGGTCCTTCCAGTGACCGATGACACTAATCAGTACCAACAATAAGCTGCAGTCTCGAAGGAGTACTAGGTTTCTAAATGTTGTACCTTGCTGACCAACCTTATCGAGAAAAATGATTCAGATGGATAAGCTACTTAGTGGGTACTTTTTATTTTAATTTTTAAAATAAAAGAATGATGGGGCTTAAGAAATGATGAGAGAGAAAGGAAAATTGAGAAGTAAAGAGAGATAAGGAAAATTTGAACTCAGAACCTCCTCGGTATCAAAATTCAAAACTCCTTTAAAAGTTATTTTGTTTGTCCAAATTGCTTGGAGATTTGTGTAGGATTTTCCAATAACTCAATATTAGATATTTGAATACAATTATAAGATAAAATGCTTATCATTCTTCAAAGATTAAACAAGAGATTGAGAGATGCACAAGAAGCTTGGTTGACACATTGTGATGTGTGTCTGACATAGGTGACTTCGTCTCTCTCCAAGTTCTATATGATAGGGTAAACTGGTCTAACAAAATGATGCTATTGTTGAGAGAGACCTAACCTTTTATAACTATGGTAGGACCTCTCATTTAAATAATCCTAATATGAATTACAGGTTCTATACTTTACTATCACATCAAATATATGACTAAGATATGACTAGGCCCCATATGTAGTGGATCATGCTATTAGAGAGTTTTATTGGTTTTCATTTAACCCATTTTAACAAAACAAATATAATCAGTGGAAACCCAAATCTGAAAATAATTCTAACAATTTGTTCCAATGTTATTGCTAAAGATCAAAATCACCTCTACTATGCATTTGAGGGTGGTTGTAAACATCTACTGGAATATGATAAATTTAAGGGTAAATTACATATAAATCCACATGTGATTTTATACAATGCCAGATGATCCTTTTAAGGTTTCAAAATAACTATATAACTTTCCTGTAGTTTATGTAAAGTAACAAATAAACGAAATGTACCATTGGTTACTTTGATTGAACTAGAAGAGCTTCAAAAGTACATGTGATGGAATTATAATATCTATTTAATCCCTATGATCACCCCCTGTAATTTTCGTTTTTATCCACATAATCTTCCTATTTTTAATACATGATGGTTAGGTCATTGTTCGATTTAGTATTTAAGTAAGGGTAGTACTGATATTTCAATGAACGAAGTTACATAGGCTATTTTTCATCAAATTTTCACTCTTCTTGAAACTATATGAGCATAAAATGGATATTTTGAAACATTAGAGAAGACATGTGCCAATAGGTAAAACTATAGGGAGTTATGTGTAATTTACACAAAACCACAATTGCATTACAGCTTGAACATTGAACACAAAACGACTGCAGAGTCACCAAACAAGCTAAAACTTGTAGCTAATTGACTTCCAACTGGCACATTAATAAATAGACCAAAGCAGTTTTTTTATAACATTTTTTAAAGTATAATTCGAGATCTCTTAATTACACTATCTCTTCTTTTTTTCGTACCATCCAACCTATCTATTCCCCATCAAGGCAGTTCTTACTGCAATAGGTAAATTGATCGAGAAATATCTAAGATTATGATGGATTTGAAATTCATTCGACAAAAATATCTAAATTGATGTCTATTTTCATCATTTAGATTAAAAAATGTGGTTTATTAGTCCCTTTTAATAGTTTTTTCAATTATACAACAGTTTAATAATTTAACTAACAAACAATAACAACATATCACTCAAACAGTTTACCTAAACTAAAAAGAATGAAGAGCTACTATCCATAAAATAAGAAGCTTAATATTATCTTATATTGACAAAATTTTATTAGCTTCACTTATTGTTATTATTACTGTCCTCATTATTATGATTCAATCTAAAATGAAATAAATAAAAAATACTAGTATATAAAAATAAACAATAATCCAACAAGAATAAAAAAAATTTTAACCAAAATAAACAAAAGAAAGTTTCTTTTTCTTTTTGCTTGATCACTTAAATACATTTGTATACTCAAGATGATAAATTTTATTGATAAAAAGAACAAAAAAGATTAAAAAAAGGTATGCCATATTTTGTTTGTTCATCTTTTTATGGCACAAAATATAAAAATACCTATTTGTTTTATCTTATAGTCATCCCTTTATTGTCAAATATATCATTCACTCTACAATACTATTGGAGGTAGAATATTATATTGACAAAATTGAAATAGACTGCCGTTTATTTCTCCTTAGAATCCAATTCATGTTGGATTAAGATTTATTTTTATATATAGTCTATTAGAGTTTAAATTGAATGACAATGATGATGATGATAACAATATTAACAATAAATGAGTTACTAAAATTTGGTATGCATAAAGTAATAGTAAGCTCGGTTATTAGTAACTCTTTAATGTATCTTATGTTTTTTAATTACCTTTAATTTCTTTAATTCCTTTTTTTATAAACTAATATGTATATAATGAGTTAAAATTTTAGAAAAAATGCTTTGTATAACTTCTTTACTTTTTATTTAATGAAAGCTACTTTTGAATTTCAAATGGTTAAAAGATATTGAAGTGAACATTTATAGCATGAGAGTGAATTATTTACAAATTTTTAATATTTTAGATAATTAATAAATATAAAAGTATTTATGACGTATTAATAATGTCACGAGTCAATTACGGTCAATGAGTTGGAATTTTTACCTCTTATCTGAAGGTGCTAGTTCATCTATGGCTGAGGGTAGTAATCGAGCAGAATTGCGGGTAAAATCCTAGGCATAGGTTACTCGAGCTACATATGGCTGTATGGGTCTGAAATTTCTACCTCCTCGGGACAATTGCCCGATGCCGGTGAAATCGAATAATGTGGCATCTACAGTGGAGAAGTGGAAGAATGCCATAGTAGGGTTCATAGTTGGATACTCTTCCTTTTTCTGTAATACACAAATTTGTGGATTCAAGATGGAGTGAATTTGGAGGGGTGATGTACATTTGTTGAAGAATGGTGTTTATGTGTTCAACTTTAAGGATGGAGATAGCAAAATTAATTAAGGCTCTGGAGCAATCTCCATGGTCAATAGCTACTAAGATGTTGTTCCTTAAACCCTAGAGTCTGGTGATGGATTTATACAAAGAGGATTTGGCTAGGGTTCCTCTGTGGGTGACATTTCTTCATCTTAAATTGCACTATTATATGGAAGGAGGATTGAGCAAACTTGCGAGTTTTCTTGGGAAACCACTTTACACTAACAAGCAAACTGAGAGAGTTTCATATGTTAGAGTCTGTATAGGATTAGCTGCTGATACTGCTAGATCTTTTGTCATTCCGTACATTTGTATTGCTGGAAAATGTCCTTTCTTGGTTCTTAGCAAATTGCACTATTATATGCTACCTCAAACTATTGTATCAGAACTCCGAAGTGCCCGTCTACAGGAGTACCAAATGGTTGCATAGGGTAGCCGACGGATCCTTCCCTCCACACAACACCCAGAAAAAGCAAAATCCAACCCCTCCATATAACTAAATAGACCAAATACGAGGTGACAAAATCAACAGTACTTCCATTTCATGCGTGAAAACTATTCTTTAACTACATTAATCCCCTGGAAAAAAAATATTCCTAAGATAGCATGTTTACATAAAACTGTATCTCTGTGTGTGTGTATATATATAAGCAACCAAAGAACAGACAAAATCCACACGAAAATACATTATTATGCTTTAGAAATCTAGAACAGGCTAAGCAAAAGTACTTAAGGGACTAATCCAACGTTGGACTCTTAATTCAACGTTGGACTTATATGTGAATAATTATGGGTTGAAAACTGTCAAATAAGATTAAGCCCAATTAAAGTGATCAAATATGGTTTGGGATTAATGTATCTAATAGGGTGTAGACTTTTAATGTGTAGAGATTTAAGAGATCCTATTTCTATGATGGGCTGAAATAGGGTTCCAAAGGGTAACAAGAATGTTAACTATAAATAGAGTTATGGTCCCCAAGTCACACGTATCAGTCTATTTGTCGTATTTTCTAGTACCACAAAATAGCTTTTCCTTGATATCTCATCGTCTGAAAAGATATCAGAGAAATACTAAAGAGTTCTCTCAAGGATTGGCAAATACATGTTGACCTGTAAGGCCACCCCAATATCTTTAAAAATTAAAATATCAGTTTGTCAATATGAATCCAGGTATGCTTCCGTAGTTTTATCCAGGTACGCTTACGTCAAGACTGAAAGATCGATCGTTGTGTACCACATAACAAAATTTTTTTTTTTTTGGATAAATAAGAGGAATTGAACCCATGAACTCTTATTTACAATCCCTCTTATCTTATCATTCAACCCAACCATTTCCCTAATAGCTCATTTGGAAGAGCAGATTTGGTGAGAAAGGAAAAGATTACGAAGGAAAGTTGATCTTTTTCACGTTTGTGACTTTGGATAAGAAAGAATTGAAAAGAAACGAAAGGATATCAAATCCCTTCCAAGTCAGAAAAACTTTCTGCCCAAAATCGGGTGGAAAACGTGAGAAAATGAAGTGGGTTAAATGAATTATATCATATACCACTTTTACCCGTAAAAGATTACAATATAACTATATAACCTAATAGAATTTTCAGGTAATCTTAAGATTTAAGGACCTTTATGTAAAATTGAATCTTTTCTTTTCACTTTCTCCATTTCCAAACAAAGGAAAGTTACCTCATTTCCTTTCTTCTCCAAAACTCCCATATAACATGGGAAGATATTACAATCTTTCCTATTCTTTTCTAACTTTAAGATTTTTGTTCTTTTCTTTTCTTTCCTAAAATCCCAAACTAGTCATAAAAGCAATTAATTAAATGCATTGAACATATATTATAGTTTGGCCAAAACTTGAAGTCTTAGATGCAAGTAAAACAAAGCTTTGCTAGTTAAATACTGGCAATTCTTTGCTTTGTTGTTTAAAAACACCCTCAGTTTAGCACCAAAACTTTACCTTAGAAGGAGGTTTTCCAATTTTTTGTCCCTTTTGTCCACGAGACTTCTATCTCAAAATTTTCCTG